TATTTTATTTGATGCTAACTCCGGTCTTTAATATAAGAGTTAGTTGGAGATTAAATTTGGTCTAAATATATGACTCTCATCTATTTTATCTTTAGTATTTATCTATTTTTCTCTGAAGTAATCTCTTTGGTGATTGCGTATATTAAGGAACTTCCATCAAGAGTTATTCCAATATACATAATTAATAACAGTATTTTAAGAAATATAACATCTATTTATTATAAATAACTAATTTAACTAATTTTTTTAATATTTCTAAATTAGTTTTCAAACTCTTATAGTAAGAACAGGAGGTAGCACATTCTTAGTCCTAAATATAAAAGTCAGATAGGGTTTATTTTGATTTTAAATATAAAATTTTAATTCATTTTGTCTTCCAGATTTATAAATTTTCCCAAGTCAAGTTTTCCATTAATAGGATAGTAGTTAAAGAGAGTATTGTGGAGAAATAAATATATATTTATTACACATAATTAACTTAGATAATTTTTAAAAAATTTATAAATTCATTATGTAACTTTTATATTTAAAATAGAAATTATTGATATTTTAATACAGTCCCCGGTCATTATTATCCAACAAGAAGTCTGCCTCCATGTGTGACGTACCAAACCTTGAGTAAGGCACACATCATCCTTTTTTTTTTGGGACCAGCACATCATATTATTATTAGACAAAATGATAAAAATTATTGAAAAGTTTGGTTCTTGCTTGTACATTTTTCCGATACAAATAACCCAATTAAGTAAATAAAAAATTATTAAAAAAGAAAACGTATTTTTCATAAACATCCTTTTTTTTTTGGTAGAAAGAGAGGGGGCAAAATGAAAAATAATATTGCTGGTAAAAAAAAGAAAAATAATATTAAAAGTTTGGGACATTTTTTTTTTTTTGACGTACGTTTGGGACAAGTTAGTTTCCAGAATCATGATAAATTCTCTCACGTACACGACCAGGTGGGGTATTATAATATTGTCAACCGCGCGCTGCAGACCATGCCTCTGTTCCTGGCTGCTTCCTCCATGTTGCTTCATTTTCTTCTTTCTTCGGTGTTCAAACATATATATACACACACACGTATACAACCAGGAAATCACTATAATAGGAAGACTGCAATTGCAGCTGTAATCTTCTCCAAACATCAATGGCTTCTTTTAATCTCTCTTATTCTCCAACGTCTGCTCTCTCATGCCCACGGTATATTTTCTCTTCCGTTTCCAAGTTTCCTTCTTTCTCCTTTTAGCCAGTTGGGTTTGGCGTATCATGGATTGGTTCTCTGGTAATTGCTTGTTTGAGTAGTCTTAGAATGTTTTGGATTCCGTGTCAACTTCGTTTATCTGAAATCTTCATTTACGTCTTAGCGTGATATATTTTCAATTCTGCGATCAATTATTGGAAACCATTTTGATTTCCGTGATCCACAATATGCGTGAGATCTTACTTGTATTGAATGATTCTTTATCTGGGTATGCGTTTTTTCTGTTTCAAAAAGAAAATATATAACTTGATGTCGAGGGAACAAATTTCAGTGCCAGAAAATTGATAGTGAATGCATGATTGGTAGCATGATGTTGAATAGAGAATTTATTACACCCCCTCCCCCTTTTGAGGTTTAAGTTTAGAATACCAAATGCTGGAACAGAAAGCTTCTCTACCCAACTTGTTACGTTTAAATTTAATCTTAATCTCGAGCTCATAATTTATGCCCAGGAGCTCATATTTGGTCTCCACTTGAAAGGACACTTAACAATGTAACTGCACAGATTAGTTGACTTCAACCTGTTCACAACTCGAGGCCGAATTTGCATTTGATCGCTGGCGTTATTGAATTCTGGAAGTGGAAACTATACGTCCAGACTCCATAATTAATTGGCATCTGAAAATTCCTTACGTATTGCGTTGAAAAATTAAGATTTTACGATAATTTTCAGTTGTTGCGGATGTCATATACTATGCGATGAGTTATTCACCAGTGTAATTGGATGACTTATTGCTTGGATTTGGTTGAAGATTTGAATAATTTGAAGTGAAAAGCTTTTGAAGTTCCAATGATATAAGGGAGGGATACTCAAAAGGCGTGGGTGAGGAGAGAGGAAGTGGGATACAAAAAGTAAGAACTAGGTAGTTTGGTCTTGTGTTCTTCTTTTGTTGTGATTTTTCTCAGTTTCTGGGCCACCATTCTTTGCCTGTAGTATTCCATACCCTGTGATAGGAGAAAAATGTAAAGCTATGTCTTACGAAGTTTTAACTTTTTCTCCTAGCCCTTGAATTTACTGAACCTTGCACTGGCTGTGTGGGCTGGTTTATGTAGTTTGAACAGCTGCTCATCATGCCCTTGTGTCCATAATTTTGTGACTTTCGGCTCATTTTTTCCGTTGCTCTATCACATGTTGGTTAATGTTTGGATATCATCACTACCAATTAAAACTTGCGATCTTCTGTTCTATGCAGGGCATGTAAGCAGTCCAAATTGTTTAATAGATTGCACAGTGTGAATTCATATTTTGTAAATGGACACAGATCCGATTTACCTTTTGCAAATCTGAATTCTAAATTTTCTCCAAGTGACAATGGTGTTAGTATACCTAAAGCAACATTGATCTCTGGAGGAGGTGATCTTCTTTCTTATTCAAATGGCCATGAATCAGTTGGACTTGAGGTACAACCTGATGAAATAGCATTTGGAGCACTGGTAGCAGACAAAGTGGTAACAACCAATGGCTTTTCCGTTGACAATAATGAATTTGATTTGGATAGGCCAACAAAAGGATTTGCTTCCATTCCTGAGGCAATAGAAGACATTCGCGAGGGAAAGGTTGATTATTTTTTCTCACTCTGTCTCAGTCTCTCGCTTTTATTATGGCTGTGGAGGTCAATGATGTTAAAAGTTTTGCTTTTGTGCAGATGGTATTGGTTGTAGATGATGAGGACAGAGAAAATGAAGGGGACTTGATTATGGCTGCACAATTGGCAACACCTGAGGCTATGGCTTTTATTGTGAAGCATGGAACTGGGATAGTTTGTGTAAGCATGAAAGAGGAAGATCTGGATAGGTTACAACTACCTTTGATGGTGAACAATAAGCATAATGAAGAGAAAATGTGCACGGCATTCACTGTGACGGTGGTATGTTATTTGTTTACAGGCATCTGTACAATTGGTATTAATCATGCATATGTCTCTCATCAGGGTCATGCATTGATAACATTTCTCCACCCGATGAGAATTGAACTTTATCATGACAATTCACAATTGTTTCATCTACTATTATTTGCATTTTGCATCTAATTGTAAGCTCGTTAGACATCATGAATTTTAGTTCCAAGTGCATAACAGACATTTGTCAGTATGTATTATAATCACATCTAGACAATAAGGATGACAGAAATTTCATCACCTGTTTTGTTGCAGCAGGATTTAATGATTTGCGCTAATTTTGTAGGATGCTAAGCATGGTACCACCACTGGGGTTTCAGCTCATGATAGAGCAACAACAGTTTTGGCTCTTGCATCGAGAGATTCAAAACCAGGTGATTTTAATCGTCCAGGCCATATTTTCCCTCTACAATACAGGGAAGGAGGGGTCTTGAAAAGAGCTGGACACACAGAAGCTTCTGTTGATCTAGCGGTACTTGCTGGTTTGGATCCTGTTGGGGTTCTTTGTGAAGTTGTAGATGAAGATGGGTCCATGGCTAGATTGCCAAAGCTTCGGCAGTTTGCTGAGCGCGAGAATTTGAAAATTGTTTCCATTGCTGACTTAATAAGGTATGTGTTTACATATCATAAGCTAAATTCTATGTTATCTGCTGCTTTAATTTTCTGACTAATGCCTTGCTACATAATCAGCAATGAATCCTTGGGTATTACCTATTTTTCAGGATACCATTGCTTAACTAAGCTAATTTCTTTTCAGTCATCTTTATTATAAACCTTCTATGTGGTTGCTTTCTTCTTTACTCGTTCTATTTTTTAGTATACCATTGCTTATGTTTTGTCGGGTCAAGTTGCCTTCTATTTCTTTTGTTCTTTATTTTAGCTTGCAGGCAAAGGTTTCAACTTTCTGGGTTCTTTTGTTGCTTATTTAGTTATGCAGTGAATATATTAACACATGATATCTTTGCAGGTATAGAAGGAAGAGAGATAAATTGGTGGAACTTGTGTCTGTTGCACGAATTCCTACGATGTGGGGTCCATTTGCAGCATACTGTTACAGATCGCTTTTAGATGGGATTGAGCATATCGCAATGGTTAAGGTGTGGCCATGCTTCTATTTCGGTTTAACTGGATTAGATGGCTGTATGACAGTGTTACATGCTCCTGCAAAGAGTGATTTTGATATGTTCAACAATACAGACTCACCTAAATTTGATTTTTGCAATTCTGGTCTACCTGGCTAAAAGAAATCAATTTGAGCTATTACAATTCGCCACCCAAGCTCTTCAAACAATTATGTCCAAGTTTTTGACATTTGATTTCTCCATTATTCAGCAGTAAACATTTAATGGAATTTGAGTTTTAACTGTTCTTATTATTTAACAGGGTGATATTGGAGACGGACAAGATGTTCTTGTGAGGGTACATTCAGAATGTCTCACGGGAGACATATTTGCATCTGCCAGATGTGACTGTGGAAATCAGCTTGCACATGCCATGAAACATATTGAGGCCGCTGGGAGGGGTGTCCTTGTATATCTACGAGGGCATGAAGGAAGAGGCATTGGATTAGGCCATAAGCTTCGCGCTTATAGCCTACAGGATGATGGACGCGATACTGTTGAAGCCAATGAGGAGTTAGGTTTGCCTGTTGACTCAAGGGAGTATGGCATTGGAGCACAGGTACTTAACATAACTGCTTCAGTATTTTCTTTTTCTTTTTCTTTTTTTTGGGGTCGGGGGTTAAGGGGCAAACATTAACAATTTGAAGTTACAAACAAGGTCAAACCTGCAATCTTCCACTTATGGGAGAGCTCTCATGCCACTAGGCTATAAGGTCATTAAAGTGATTGGCAATTGCTTCAGTATTTGACATTATATTATGCTCATTCAGCCTCTCACTTGACATAGTTCTTCCAATGATTGGGGCTGCATACTGGTAACTTGTTATCTGGGGCAACATATAAAATTCTAGCCTTTCTTGTTCCATGACCGTTTGACCTTAAAGCTCATGTCTGAACTGCATTAAAATCTGAGGCTCTTCAGTTAAATTATAACATGCTAATATGGAAGAGATAGTTTGAGTTGAGAAAAACATCTACACGTTTTAATTGAACCTGAAACTCATTGCTCTTTTACTTTTGGTGGAGGTGCCAAATATTGTTGAGTAATAATAATGATAATACATTTTCAGTTCAAATAGTATCAGCAGTTGATAGTCAGTCACACTGGTAGGGATAAAGTATTTGACAGAAATGCTGATATTGTGCTTGCAGATACTGAGGGACTTGGGTGTTAAATCCATGAAGCTGATGACAAACAATCCAGCAAAATATAGTGGATTAAAGGGTTACGGTTTGGAAGTTTCTGGTAGGATCCCATTATTAACTCTGATCACAAAGGATAATAAGAGATACTTGGAGACCAAACGTGTGAAAATGGGACATGTTTATGGCTTAGAATTTACCAGCCGATTGAACAGTCAAGAAGGTAGCATTGGTGATGAGGTTAAAGTTGGTGAATCTAAAGTTGTTTCTGGCTCATCATAAACCTGTGTTCCCTACCATATAATATATATAGCGTCGGATACAAAGCACAAGAGGAAGAAGGAATATAAGATGTCTGGAGTTGTTTGATAATAAGTCTATGTAATGAGAAAGAACATTGTGCTTATGATTTAACAAATCTGATTCATCTGACTCATCCAGCAGACTCATCTGATTCATAGGCTTCTCCGAACATGATTGTGAACTGGGAAGTTTATGACTTCATAATGAGGGTGCACTTGGAGAAAGAGTACCAATATGTGGGAATCCAAAAATGGCCCTTCAAAATAGCTTAATTCCTATGAAGTCCTGGGGACTATTTTGGAATTAAGTTCTTTTGTGAAATGACCTAATTGCTAAAAAAAAAAAAAAAAAAAAAAAAAAAGCCTCCTCCGTTCCTAAATCACCACCATAGCTCGAAACTCGGTGGCTAAGATGGGATGTGATCACATCACCTTTTGGTTCCCAAAAAATCAGTAGACGACCAACACTTCTTAGTAACATAATATTACCTCCGCTGTTTAATATAAAAACTCATTTGATTTTTATTTTGATCTTAAATATAAGATCTTAATCTACTTTATCTCTCATATTTATTTATTTTTTTAAAAATAGTCTTTGTAATAATAGTAATTCTAATCAATACACTTGATTAGCAGTGATATTTTAAGAAAAACAATATCTATTTATTACAAATAACTAATTTAACTAATTTTTTTAATCTATTCAAATTAGTCAACTAGTTCTTATATTAAAAATCAGAGGTAATGCAAAATATTATATAAGATAATTTTTAATTTTTAATATATATGAAAATAATAGTTTACTTTTATGATTAATAACTTTAGTCATGTGAAATGATTTCAAGTAATAACAGTTACTTTCTCGAAATTCAACTTCTAGGATTTTGAGTTTTGAAAGATCTAGGACTCCTTCATTTTAAGAAATAATAATTTTAGTTATGTAAAATGATAGTATTACCTTCGGTCCTAATTATAAGATCTAATTGACTAATTTGAAGAGATTAAGAAAATAAGTTAAATTAGTTATTTATAATAAATAGGAAAAATTGAGGAGAAGGACCTAAACAAATTAGTATTTATTAAGAGGGATCTTAAAAATCGTAATTAATTTGAAGGACCAAAAATTAAAATATGAATTTACAACTAGAAAATTATCCCGAGCCAAATTCTTATATTATCTCCAACACTCATCTCAATATTTGATTATTAGTTATCAATTGAAATATAAATTTATCCATTAAAATTAAAAACTGAATACAGCAATTAACAAAAAAAAATAGAGTCCTATTTTTCAGTCATTCATATCTACATCTACTAGCCTATCATTCCGATGAGGTTGGAAAAATTCAGCTTGCGTGACTGTGATTTTGCCCCTCATTCTGATGAGGTTGGAAAAATTATTAGTGAAGCTCGAGTTACAAAATGGTAGTATTTACCTGATTTTCATATTTTGGTCAAGAGAAAGAACTATATTTATATTCATCTAAGAGGCTTTGTATAGGTAGCATGACTGTGTTTATATGTATGTATAGTTGGGATTGAATGGAGGTACAAATATATACTTTTATATTCATCCAAAAAGTCTTTATATTGGATGTTTTTAATCAAATATTAGCAAATCAGGATACTAACGAATTAAAATTTAAGTAATTACAACTCCTCATTAACTTAATAAGGAAATTTGAACAATATAATTGCATTACTAAGAAAAGTTAAACCAAATATTATGACATCAAACTGATGCTCAACGGGTATAGGTTTCAAAAATATATGGTTAATATCAAGTAAATCAAGCAACAAAGAAAGCATTAAAAAGTTAAAAGTTCACTTTAGCAAAGTATATATCCTATGAGTGATGTCAATCATTGAAGCTACTTAGCTACCCAAGATCTTATCTTCTACATTGTCTCCATCACCATGAAACTCAACTTGAACCTGGATATATAATTGCACAAAATGTCGTGAGCAGATCAACTACCTATTTTATCATCACTGTGTTAGTTCGTTTTCATCTGGATTTGCATGCAATATATTGTAATAAAATTGGATGTGAAACATATACATATGAATAGTTCACGGATTGAACAATACGATAGAGGCCACGAGAAAATGAGAAAAACATTTAGTACAAATAAATTAAAGGAGGAAAAATAATGTTCAGAATATACGAACCATCCAATAAATAGTTTGTTGGTATATTCCTTTTAATTTGTCTTCTTTGTTGTGAATTTACAAAGAGACAATTGCTATTGATAGAAACTTTGGGAGCATAAGAAAGAGATACAACAAGAGAGAGAGAGAGAGAGAAATTTGATAACTAATCGTCAAATTGAGATAGGAAGGTGTTGGAGATAATGTAGAGATTTGATAAGGGATAATTTGGTAATTGTAAAATTTTATTTTAATTTTTGGTCTTTCAAATTAATTACAATTTTTAAGATCCCTCTTAATAAATACTAATTTTTTTAGGTCCTTCTGCCTAACTTTCCCTAATAAATAAATATTGCATTTTCTAAAATATCCTTGCTAATAAACTATATTAACTAGAACTACTATTATTAGAAGGGCAATCTTAGAAAAAAAATGCATAAATATAAAAGACAATATGTAGATTTGAGTCATATATATAGTATCAATATAAAAATCAAATGAGATCTTATATTAAGTACCGGAGGTAGTAATAACTTTTTTTTTTTTGGTCAAAAGAGGTAGTAATAACTTAAACAGCAACAACCACTCTCTTAAAATTCAACTTCTAGAATTTTTAAGTGGTAGTGGATCAGTAACTACTTAAGAAAAAAAAAAAAACAACTTTAGTTATACGAAATGACGACAACAACTTAAGCGTTGGAAAATGTTGTATTGAAATTTAGTTTCTGGGTTTTTAAATGTTGGCGGATCAATTACTCCTGCACTTTTAAGTGTGGTGGTCATTAATCCACCAGCACTTAAAATCATAGACGTTGAACTTCAAGAAAATAGCTGTCACTCCTTAAATTGTTGTTCTTTATGTCAGCAAAGTTATTATTACCTCTAGTGTTAAATACTCCCTCCGTTTCTTATTATAAGAGACGAATAACCGAATTATGTTGATAAAAAAAAAGTTAAAATTAGTTAAGAAAAATTAATATGTAAAAAGTATAATTTTTTTTTCAAAAATGCCCTCATTAATAAGGAGAGAGCATGAAAGAGAACAATGGTAAATTATTAAAAGAAAGAGAAGTGAGAAGGAGAGAGAATGTGAGTTGGAGACAATAAATATGGGTGAAATAGGAAATCAACACAAAAAAGTAGAGACAACTTTTAAGTGTCTCTTATATATAGGAACATGTCATAAGTATCAAATGTCTCTTATAATAAGGAACGGAGGGAGTATAATAGTTAGTTGATTAATTTTAAAAAATTAATAAAATAAGTTAAATTAATTATTTGTAATAAATATGTGTTGTTGTTTTTAACTATCCTTGCTAATTTAGTGTACCACTCTGTACTTTATTATAGATCATTTGTACCTCAAAAGTTTATTTCAAAACATAAATCACTTGTAGTATAATTAATGATCTTTTTCTAATTTTACCCTATTAATTTAATAAAAATTAATTAATTTAAGTCTAAATAATAACTCCTCGAAACACGTTCTTCTCCTTTAAACACTCTATCTCTCTCTCAACTTTTCATTTCTCGTACAATCTGTCCCTTTCCTCCTTCCCTCTCTCTCAACTTTTAATAACGGTAAATGTGAAAAAAACTGGTTAATTTAATATACTTTTTGATTTGCGGGTTTGGGATACAAGTGACTTATAATGAGGAACACAGTGATACTGGTTAGAACTACTATTATTAGAAAGGCTATCTTAGAAAAATATATATAAATATGAGAGACAAAATAGATTGAGATATTATATCTAGGATCAAAATAAAAGTTAAATAAAGTTTTATATTAAAGACTGGTGGTAGTATTTTTTTTTTAAAGGTAAAATAGTCATTTATCCACCAATACTTAAAAAACTAGAAGCTAAATCTCTAGAGAATGGTTGCGCTTAGGGGTGTTCATGGGCAGGGCATGCCCCCTGCCCGATGCCCAGCCCGAAAAATGAGCGGGCTGCAAAATGCAGCCCGTTGTCCTGCCCTGCCCACAAAAGTCCTAACCATTTTCGGGCTAGGCAATAACGGGCTGGGCAGGGCGGGCTTCCAAGCCCAAATAGTGATACCTTGGTGAAATTTTTTAGTTAAAGTGATGGTATCTTATAACAACTATAAAGAAATAAATACTTAAATAAACAATAAATTCAACAAATCAATAACTTTGCTTTATCTTAAATTGATATATCTTTTAATATAATACTAAAGTGAGCTTGCTTTTACATCTTTACAAGACAACCAACAATAAAAACAAACTAAAAGATACTAAACCAAATTAAAAAAAATTAAAAAGATACTAAGAAGGAAGAATTACGCATACCACTAAATGTATCTATGGCAAATGAAAGAGGGGAGAATAATATATATTATTATATATATTATATCATTATAAGTATTTTTGGCAAAAAAAAAAGAATTATAAATATATATATATCACGGGCAGGGCCAAATAGGCAGGGCAGTATACCATGCCCGCAGCCCTGCCCTGCCCATAATATGCCCAGCCCAAAAATGTCATTTTTCTTTGGACTATTTTTTGTCCGGGCTGGGCAGGGCCATTTTCTTACGGGTTCGGACGGGCATACCGGGCTAGCAAGCTTGATGAACACCCTTTGTTGCGCTGCTTAATTCACCTTCCTCTCTTTTCAGGTCAAAAAAAAAATTCCTTTCCATCTCTCTCTCATTGCATCCCATTTGTTCATTCAATGATTGTAGAGTATCCAACCTGGAATTACATGTAAGTTGTAAGGAGTGTTTGGGATGAAGTAAAACCATAGTTTTAAAGATATTTTTACTGTATGTATGCGAAATAAATATATAGAAGAATTTATTTTGATTTTCAGAAAAATACTTTTCACAAATATTTTTGGGTTGTCTGAAACACTCACGCGGTAGTATTCTTTTTCTGATCACTTGCAAATGATAGGTTACTGTTTAAAAATCTGGGCTAGAGACGAAAATGCCTCTGCAAGTT